AGATCCCTCCAATCTCTCACCCAGTCATTGTTGGCGTTGCTCAACGCATTGCCGATTTCGGTATCATCACCGAGTCGACATTCGCAAAGTTCTCCCATTTGTGCTGTCATCGGCTGTGTAAATCGCCCTTGTCATAGTATGAAAGTGGCTGAAAACGGACAGCTCAGGGGAACCGCTGTGCGGGGAGAAAAGAAAGACCCAAGTCGGAAGGTGTCCCAGTACATGCCTTCAATTATTGACTCGTTTGACAACGCTCTACCAGGATTCTTGGACTTTCCTCCATTTCCGCAGTCTTGATCTGAGTCATGGTGCAACTTGTCCACATGAGGGCATCCACCGGAAGCTCCATTGGCGTTTGTTTCCGCTCCCGCTGTCCTCTGTCACCGGCTTTCATAGCAATGTGCCGACAAAGTGAGCCATAAGTCATAGAATGGTGTTGAATTGCCACCGGCTGAGCCAAGGATAAAGGAACTTATTGCGATTCCGGAGCAATCCTCGTTTCTGGGTATGAATGATCGTGACTACATCAGCACAGTACGGATATCGCCTTCACCAGTAGTCCGTATCAGGCCTCCCATACCATGGGCTGAAAGGATTGGACCTAATTCCTGCTACAAGGCCCACCGGGAGGCTCGGCAAGCATCCTGCTCACATTCACCATGTCGCATGTTTGACTGAAGAGTAAGCGGGCGTTGGCGATCAGCTTGTCACCCTTGCGCTCTCTTTGTCTTTGCCCTCCTCTCGATAACTGCCACTTCAAATCTAGGCACTCGAAAAGTGTTGGCAAACTCATCGGCACGGCCAGAACATCCGCTCGCTGAAGCGTGGTCTTCTGAGGACTGACCGCTGGCACCACCTCGCTGCAAACTCTGGTTTGATCCGAAGAGCGGGGTAAATTGGCCCTGCTTTCATGTCACTTCCACAGGGGCGGCCGCCACCCGAGCCCCTGGCCCTACGTTAAGGCCAAGCTGAACGCATCAGGAACTCTACGCCGAGGCGAGAAACCAACAGTTGCAACGATTGCCGCCGAACCATGAAACTTGTCGCTGTCGTCGTATTTCAGGTGAGTGAACACGGCGGAACGACCGTCGCGAAGTCATGGCGACCCTGGCTCATGAAACAGGGTCAGCTGGGCTCCAATGGTAAGCAGGCATATGCAGGTTGTCTATGCATAGATAGGAACAGGACATCTGTGAACATTGATGGGTCTCCTGGGGCCAGAGTCTGCAGACGGGCTCGGCGGCCGGCTATCAAGTGCCAGTCTGATCCCTACCTGGGGGATAGACAGCATCAGAGACACCCTGGTTTCGAATCCCCGTCGCTGTATGTGACCCTACGAATGAACCATGATCTCGTAAAATGCGCCTTAGGCGACAATACTCAGCCGAGATTTGCCGCCTGGCCAAGTCAAGCATAGTGATGCCATCAAGGGAGATTGCCGAACACAGCAGGGTACTGCAAAGCGACGGCGAGTTCATGGCCTAGGTTATAATCTTGCCGTTGGTATTTTTTCCCCACCCATACCATCAAATTTTGTAATGAGTATGGCCTGAGTTGTGATGGGTGCCATGTCCATAAGCCTGGGAAGCCCTTGGAAACTAGCTAGGCACCCCCGAACGAATAGAGCAACTTGAGCTGCAAGTTCACAAAGACTGTGTTCCAGATGACTCTGTCAAAGCATCCAAGTCATCCACCTTTCTTCATTGTTGGCAGCTATTGAAGTGGGCTGAATCTCTCCTTCGGATGAGTGATTTCCAAAATAGAAGTGCCTCCATCGCCGCCAGTAGTGGCCTACAAAATGATATTATTTCGACGTATTTTGGGTACTGTACTAATCCAACAATCAGACAGAGAGAACTGGCCCGCTTCTGCCAGAGCAGAAGCTCAATAGAATATTCTGGCCATCACCCGGACATAACGGCAAAGCTGCACCGAGATGAAGATCCGACAGTTGCAGCGGTGACCCGGCGATTCGCAAATCATCCGACCGCCGTCTAGCTCAAACCAAGCACAGCAGTGTGCTCTTCGGCCTACCCAACAGGTCACCAGCACACTGGTAGCTTGTGTCCTCGCGTCTAGCTCTTTGGAACAATTCCCCCGCTCAAACCTCTTGCCGCGAGTTTTGGTAATGGAACATGACCGGAAATTGCGCCCATACAGTTGGCCCGCACTGTTGCCATGGTTCATCGGTCTGGTGACTTCCGGAAGCAAGCCAAACGCCCTCAACTAAGGCAGGCTGATTAATTGGGTAGAACTGCCACTGAGCTGTTGGTGGTTGTCATGACAGTTCACCCGAACACGCCGACGATATTGGGTCTCGACTTGTTCGACTCCAAGATCCGAAATTTGGCGTCCCGGAAGGCCCTATACAACCCTTGTCCCACCACTCGATGCAAGGTAGGATGTGGTCACATGATACAAAACCCCTGCAGGGTGGTAATCTTGTTGGTGATGCTATCGCAAGAACCCCGCTCTTCCCCACCTCAGATGTGGTCTGTATGAGACGCTTGCTGGCTTCTCACTTGATAAAAAGTCTTCAACGCTGCTCTGGCAAGAAAATGGGAAACGCCATATGTGAAACGGCAGACATGATTTAGACACAAGCAACGTCGCATGCTCGACTTTCTGTTTAAACCCATCGGGTCTTTCGAGAAGGAAAGCAGAGTCATCCGGACATGGCTTCGAACGAGTATTTCCCAAAACCTGCTCTCGAGATGGATTCGGCTAAGAATTCGCTTTGTTCTCTAGCAATCCGCAGCGTTGGCAATGCGCTGGCTGCCTTTTCGAACCCGTTTCCCCCACTAGCGACGTACAATCTGGCCTTCATGCTCATTGAGGTGATTCTAATGGATGGTTAGGTATATCCCGACGTGATGGACTTCTTCGACATGATCATAACAATTGCTCGTCCAGAGAAACACAAGCCAGAACCCGAAGCGCCTCAAGTTTTGGACGTTAGAACACACACTGGTATCTGGGCGATAAACCAAGCAGAGTGAGATGGCAGCGCTTATTATCTTTCGGCAAGGACATACCCGACTGATGAGTTTCACAGAGCCAATCCCAGTAGCAAGGTTATAGGAATCGATACGGATTTAATGCACCCCCGACATTATGTGTCCAACGTGTCATTTCACCGTGTCGGTTTGATAGAAGGTCCGTGGAAACCATGGGAGCTACCGGGCCCATTCGACCTTGTTCACTTCCGGTCACTGTTCGACACTTCGGTAAACCTGCTCAGCCTGTACGGAAACTCATTCAATGTACTCAAACCAGGCGGGTATCTGGAGCTAGAGGAGATAGATTGGGATATCCGCAGCGACGATGATACGCTACCTGTATCCTCATCCCTCAAGGAGTGGGTGGACGCGTTTAAAATGAGACCCAGACAGCAGTCGGACTTCAAAACCACCAAGGCTCAGTTAGAAATGGCCGGTTTCGTTGAAGTAACTGTGGAGACGATCAAGCTGCCAATCAATCCAGGTTATGGCGGTAATATTATTGGTAATTGGTTCTGTAGCGGCTTGGGAAGCCTTTTGGACGCTACACGATTAGACGAACCCCCACAGTCATGGTTCATACCAAAGAACGATGATCTGGCATCCGCAGTCAAACATGAGATTCTAGATCGCAGGATTCATGCCTATTTTCAATTGCAAGTCAATTCCCATAGCCAAAGAGGTGTTTAGATTAGGATGTTAACATTGGCTGTAGGTATGTCTGGATGGCGCGAAAGCCACTGGCCGAAGCACAACATGCCCACCAGAGCGGTTCGACTTGGCGAAACGTGCAGTAGCCTTGACTTTGGACGATGGGAGGGTTCTGTAAACGCCAAAGCTCCCTAACGAGGGGGTTTGCTGGGTGCTGATGTTGGATAGCTCTAATGTGATCAAACTTAGGAGAACGGATAGCGAGAGCTTAGCAGCAGGGTCATAGGCAACGGTGCAGGATGTGTCGCGGGAATTGCGCGCATATTCTTAGAGAGCGCCATTGTTTCGACCGTGTTGTTTGACGGTTCGACACTGAAATCCCTTTCGTCAACAGAGCCACAGCCTCAGCCAACGCCACAGTTCATTCACCTGAATAGGATGTCAGTACCCTCCCTCAGACCCTGCGGTGCAGGTTGTACAGTGCAATGGTTCCATAGTCGTTTCCACCTCGCTCAGACTTGTGGCCTTCTACAAAGTAGCGGGCTGGAATGTCCGCTGCACTCGTTTGCTGGATGCCCTTTCGGCGCGGAATCGTGGCCACTGGTGGCTAGAAGCGCACCGACAGGCGCATCACAGACGTTTTCAGGCGGCTTGAAGCCCTGAAATTGCTGATGTAATCTGGATCCAGCTTGGGAGGACGCCAATTGCGGCGGGTTGCGCAGTATCGTGCTGCCTTGGGAGCATCCACATCTCAATGGCATGTCCGTAATCACTGAGAGCGTGCTCTGGTTATCTGTGATGACAAAAGTGGACCCACAATTGCCAGTATGTAATTGCGACCTTTACCCGTCACGACATTATCTTAGTGGCTCGTTTTGTGGCCCGCCCAAGGTTAAGCCCCGGAAAGGGAGGCCCAGTTCATTGTCGACAAAGGACTCCCGGTACACTGGCCAGACCCTGCCAGACCCGTCCGGACCTAAGCCTTGGGTAGGGGCGGCGTTTCGCGCTAGTGCTGATCTCCCTCGCGACATTATGAGCCTGACATGCCGCACCCGCCGGCTTGATACCTTGCCGATAATAGTCTGCCTTGGGCTTTGTGAGGACATTGCGCCCCACAGGCAGCAATAAATGAGAATCGACAGTTCGTAGAGTGGGCCATCCTGACAGGCCAACGACAAACAACATTATTCCGAGGGCATGGCGATGAAATGAGGATAAAGTAAGCTGATTGTAGCTCACGGACGAATTTCGTCCTGGTGGCACTATCCAATTCAACTCCTTTATATAGGCTTCGTCCAGTGTGAGCCGACGAACAATACCCGATAAGCTTCCCGCACCGTGAAACAAGACATGGGCTCCGATACTGGCTATGGCAACTCCTTGCCAGAGATTGACGACGGACATGCTTTACACGCCGGCTCCCCCTTTTCGAGCAACTCTTCGCCAGCGACTAACCACGAATCCGAAACCTACTCCGACTCGACGCTTCTCAATAGCCCTACTCCAGAGATAAACGACTACGATGCCGACAACTCTGAGACTGATCGTTGGGATGAGGAAGTAATTAAGTGGCCCCAAAACTCAGGAGACGTGAGACTGGCTTTTAGGATATTGAACTAATACGCGCACAGTCTGACACTGCAAGTCTTCCCGCCGATGTCGATGACAAGGTGCTGAAATATTCCCGAGAGTATCATTCATGGGCTGAAAACTGTCAGTGCTGTTAAAGCTATCCAGCTGTGAGATGGAAACTGACAGTTGTTAGCCTACTTTTCTCCAACAGACGAAGTGCGTTGACCATTTCTTCTCAGATATACAGACTAATGATATTGTAGCGTGACAGCGAACGGTTAGGTAAGGAACACGTTCAGAGTACTATCGGTAGATCCTGTTAATCGACTTTCAGACTTTCAAAATGAGCTGTTCCACGAGCTCCTTGAGGGCGACCATCTCTGGCAGATCACTCAATGCAAAAAAGGAGGTCCAGCTATGGTTCTGGATGTCGGTACGGGAACCGGTAAATGGGCGATCGACTATGGTAAGCAACACGGAGTCCCTCATTTTCAGCGACTGACAGATACAGCGGATGCAAATCCAGACAGAGTTATGGTGTATGGCACTGACCTTCGGCCTATTCAGCCCGATATGTAGGTCGGCACTAAGCCAACGTCAAGTTAAACGCTAATTCTGGTAGGGTCCCCATCAATTGCGTTTTCGAGATTTGCAACTGTGAAGAGGAGTGGACGTGGCCATTCCAGTTCGACTACATACGAATAGCTGGGACCGCCGGCTGCTTCAAAGACGTCCGACGTGTGATCGAAAGCGCCTACAAGTGCGTCTCTTTCCTTCAAAATCAGCGCAGGCGGATGGCTGATTTTTCCAGGCACCTTAATCCAGGCGGTATTTTGCAGATGATGGACATTGACTTGAGTCTCCAATGTGACGACAACACTTGCTCTCGAGATGGCCCCGCATCGAAGTTTTTCCAACGCCACGAGGAAGCGGCCGAATCTCTGGGTCGCCCAATCAGTGTGGCGCGTCAATACGGAGAGATGATGAAAGCGACTGGTTTTCATATGTTGCGAGAGATAACTTTCAAAGTGCGTACTAGCCCATGGAGGCAGGATGGCAGGGAGAAAAGCCGAGAAGAGTTGATGGCAGCGGTCATCACCAGTGATCCGGAAGGATTTTTTAAGGACCGCATGGTGAGGGGTTCAGGGGCCACGTCAGAAGAGGTCGACCTTGATTGCGTCGATATCCGCGAGTGGTTTAAACAGACGCGGAACCAACTTTACTTCCCCTTGTAAGCCACCCTCTGTTCATTCGCAAATGGGGTCTGACACGGCGTCAGCTACCATTGTGTAGGCCAAAAACCAGAAACCGAAGCAGAACAAGGGCCGCCTCCGATGGCAAAAGAAGTAGGAAGCGGCCCTCCGGCGGCACAGTCACAAAAAGAGCCGCCTCCGACGGTACCAAAGAGGGCGGCCGAAGACGACATCAACATGCATTGCAAGATTCAGCGGGTTTGATATGGTGGGACCATCAAGGCTTGGAGCCATTTTTTCTCAGTTGAGAGGCTAAGCGGAACAAATGGCGATGCTCTGGTGGATTGTGTGGAGGTCAGACTATTTTCAATAAGTTTGTTTGTGCAAGTGACAGACGAGAGCAAGTTTCACCGTTAGGGGCGAAAAGCCGCTCAACACCAGTTCAATAACTGGAAAGAGGGCGGCAGTTGACAATGCCAGCACGGAACCAAGGATCAAGAGGGCATGTTTGTGACGAGGCGTGATAACACTTCAGGCGGTAATGAAAAACCATACATAACCAGATGGTCAAATTCGGAATGTACAATAGTATTAAGTTAGGTGGTTCTAGATGTACAGTTTACTGGTCTGTGGGAAACGAAACAAAAATGGTTCAACTTCAATAACGTGCTTCTCTTAGCACATACGCCAAACACGAGGCAGCTATCGTCGAAAAGATGCCAATTCGGAACAAGTGCTCGACTGATGGATCGTCACTGGAGTGTGGCGCGTTCTCTTTCCTCTGCTGCGTGCCTTCAGGGGTCTGGAGGTGTGACTGGCGACTGTGACCTCAACGGGGGATGGAGAAGCCGGGTCTTCGCCAGTCAAGCGCTGTAAATTAAGCTCGGCAACCGCTGGAGCTTCCGCCCCGGTGACAGGCTTCGTGAGATTGGACTCGTATGACACACCCAGGAAGGCAGGTCGTAATTGGCCCGTGCCGGCGATCCCCGGGGTGTTGACATGGGGCGACGCGAGGGGCATACAATCAGATGGCACGGGCGAGTGATCAGCGTTGGGCCCAGGTCAACACCTTCCTCTCTCCAAAGCAAAAATATCAATCGGGTATGAGACAAGATACTGGCGTGCCACGTAGATTGCCCATTTTGATATTGACGGAGTTGGATACAGGGAAAATGTCAATGCCATGAGCGATGACGCATGCTGTGAGGTTGGCTTCTTCTCTTTATCGACGTTTGCGTGCTTCGTTGCCTAGGTCCTCTTTTCGATGTGCAAGAAAACTCAAATAGGCCTGCCGGGCTCAACGGAGACAAGCGGACTGCCTGTGCAGGCAGCACACCAGTATTGCCTAGACCCATCCGCCAACCCCACTGAATTCTGCGCAGTGAAATGAAGCGTTGCAAAGGAACAGGCACCGTCATGCCGATTTGGTATCCCCGGTTGAATGTCAAGGCAGCGTTGGTTTCGGGGCTATATAATGAGTACATTTGAACCCTTTCGTGGTAAAAATCTAACTTTACACCAATCCAATCCGGAATTCTCGAATCCAGGCCAATGGCTCGACGCAGACGCGGCGCCATACCGCTTCGTTCCGGACTAGTAAGTCATGCTCACCATCTTAGTGCTCGAACCACGCTTACATCTGTTCGCAGCGCAAGCAAAAATGGCCCAAACGCCAATGCGCAGCATGCCGCCGCGCTTTGTATTCTGAGGTCAAGCGTCTTCTTCGCAAGATCAATGATTTGGAAACAGACTTATCCGTCTTGAAAGAAGCCGCCGCTGAAGCCGTCGCTCAGGCTCCCGAACAGCAGCGCAACGAAGGCGACTCTTTTGTTAATTTGGAAGACTTTGATGGAGTCAACTTGGAAGACTTTGATAATGGATTTGACTGGGAAAAGTACGGGGTGGAAGGATCAATCCAGCAAGAACTGACCCAGAGCTTCATCGCGGATGCCGCCAATCAAGAAATATGGAACGAATCCCTTGCTTCGGGGCCGATTTTGCCTGGCCACGCTGTAAACCCCTTGGTACCGATAGCTTTCGGAGAACCACATTCGTCGCGATAATTTGCATCAAAGCCAGCGCCAGGATAGGAGTGCACAGGTTTTACTGGGCGATGAAATCTTTGGAGACTTTCCTGGAAGGTCTTCCTTGTTCCAGCCATTGGTCGTATTTTCTCAAGTTCAACTATCCAATACAAGGCCTAATCCACTGAGGCAGTCTGTCGTTTGAGCCCCATGTCTTTGTTTGCATGGGCCATCCCCTTCACTCCAATGCACCAAATTTCCCTCAGACCCCCAACAATCTTCATCGTGTTTGGGTGTCCGCCGTCAGAGCGTGCCGGGAAGTCAAGTGGCAGTCGCGAAATGAGAGGACATGATTGGTCAGCCCGGTGACAACGACTGACGCAAGATTAGATGGCCTGGGCCAGCCGAGTTGTTGTCCGATGGAGTCTAGCGCACCACTCTCGACAATCCCGCCGCAGCGTTTAAAATGTCGCAGCGGGGTGATAAGCCGACACTGTGGCGTGTGTTCTGATGTGGGGGGGTGTCAGGAGAAGAGCAATTTTCATCAACGCGGGGGTGAGGTTTGATGCACGCCTTTCTTCCGTCATCTGTCGTTCTCCGATGTACCCCGAAGTAGCCCGGCCACGCCCGCTAGCCAGGGCTGCAGCCCAGCAGCCGCAGCCGAGAAGGGGCTGAGCGGCGGACGGTTGGCCCTGTGCCCCTGGCCCCTGTCGCCCTCTGCAGCCCAGGTACGACGGTGACCCAGCGCCAGATCTGGCTTGCCCATCACACCACCACGGTTGGCCGCCTTGCTTCGGGGTAATCAGACGTTTCTGCCAACGCCCCTGCTGTCTGGCATGACAGTGCGACGCAGCCAATCACGTCAGACGTCGTCAACGACACATCTCCCTGGGCGAGCCATTTGCCAACCCTCCGAATGAAGTAATGTGATGCATTCTGCTGCAGCCAAAATCAGCAATCTGGGAGCGATTGCCGGCCTCCTCTGTTTCTGCGCTTGGCGGAATGCGCTCCACTACACAGCATCGTAGCCACCCGGCCAATCGCGGCGCGCCCGGCCTTCACGCCCCGCTCCCATGTTCCCAGCACTTGTGGTGGTGTGTGTTTGGTCAGTCACCCGTTTTATCTCGGGCACCGCCTGAACTCCGGAACGTGCCCGTTCATAATTCAAATGCGTCCCATGCAGTCGCCCGATCAGGAATGACGTGCAGCCCAACAAGGAAGTCGACCTTTGAGGCCAGGCGCAGTGTCCTGCAATCTGGACATTACCAGGCTGCTTGGACGGCTGTCCTCGGGGGTTGTTGACATAAATAGCCATTGACGCTGAGACAGTGGCCGCTTGTTACGATCCCCTCCTCAACTGACTTTTCGAACCGTCACCATCACTTCACCATGGATCGTTACCCTTGCACAAACCGATACAAGCACGGCGTCGACTGCCCTGGCTGGGTGAACGTGCACGGCGCCCGCTGCGAAGACTGCGTGGTGGTAGGTACTGTTTACGGAGGAACGAGTCCACGACTAACGATTCCAGTACAACCGATAGGAACGGTAAACCCTTGCTTGAGGTGCGGGAAGTTGGATTCCACGGACACAAAGACGAGAGGACTGAGATGGGTTGTACATAGTAATCGCGATGCCTTTTCTTCTGCATCGGACCCTCCAGTGACGTTCGTGAAAGATCCACTTTGATGGTTGTTCGGTCTTTGCGCGGATGACCGTAATCAGGGTGTTCTAGGGTGGTAGCTTGATTACGCGGAGCCGAGTCTGGCTGTGACCCGCTCTTGGATCCAGTTTTGGATGACAAGCTGACAGGCTATTGCCAATGGAGGTGAGAGGAGTCATTTGTGGATGCAATGAAGTGTGTAATATCGCAGCAGTGGGGTCGCATGTCGGCGTCCAGCACAGGTTGATTGTTCCCAGTCATGTCGTGTGAAATCGCTCACGGTGAAGGTGGAAGGAAGTACACGTGTAGATTGCTGGATTTTCGCGACCGCCGGATCTGGGTGCGACCAGTGGTCTGGCCACATGGCGTCCGAACAGGCTGTTGGCAGTGAAACGCGACGGGGGTCCTCAGGCCGGAATCTGCCTCCGTGTTCTGTCGCTGGTATGCCCAATCGCTAAGACACCGCACTGCTGGTCCGGCTCACTCGCCAGCAGCATAGCGTCACATGGTTGCCTCGGGCGGGGCCTTGGAAAGGGCGGGTTGCCTGACGAGGCTTTTTACTTTGGCAGCCTGTTGCACGTTCATGGCGAACCATCCAACTGGAAAGCCTCTCGTTGGCGAAATTGTTGCCTCGTTCACTCGCGGTCGTTAAAACCCGCCAGTTCCATGGAGAAAACAATACCATGGCGACACATCGTTCTTTCGTCGAACCTGAGAGCTTTTTGCCTCTACCATACGCCTCGCGGAACCCTGTCTTCCAGCAGTATCTCGGGTCGGGACTTGACGACAACCTCCAAGGTGCCGGTGTAATTTGAACGTCGATTTGTACATCTTATGAGTCGAATCAGAGATTGCCACCAGCCCTGGGACTATTCGAGCTCAACATCGACCTCCGAGTCCCTCGTTACAGTTGTTGCACGTCAATCTTGCGTCGCAAGTGACCATGACCTCAAATAAACGCGCTATTAACCATCAACGGGGAAAGACACAGCTGAACCCTCCACCACCACCACCACCACCACAACAACGACAACCACCACCCGCTTCCGACGGATCCCAGGTCCAACCCGGGATGCAGCCAACAAAAAATGCCGAAATAGCTGCTCAGCCCCCGGGTGACGGCGCAGATAGGGTCCGCGTCGGAAGTCCCTCAGCCTCCGAGAAGAATAAGAGAAAAGATGGTGACCACAGGTCCAATACACCGAAGCGGTCTCGCGCCCGCCAACAGCCGCATACCTCTATTGCCAGTCGTGGTGATGATGGTGACTTTCAGAGAGGTCCGGGCCTAAAGTCTGGCAGACTATGGACGCCAGAAGAGAATACTTCTCAGCCTCGCAAGGCTGATGCGACGCGCTCCAAGGATCGAGAAACTACCGACTCTTCGAAAGCCACCCCGAGTCATACTTTTGAATACCGCCTTATTGAAGGCAATACAGAAGTCATGATTAAACAGCCTGAAACTCGTCCCATAAGCCAAGAACAGCTTGTTGCTGAGGTGAAGGGTATATATGCTGGCCTCGTCATGGTCGAGAGCAAGTGCATTGAGGTCGTCAATGCACAAAGTTCGACTAAGGATACAGGCCCAAAACTCAACAACGAACAATGGCAGGCCCTCATCGCTCTACACAGAACCCTATTGCACGAACATCATGACTTCTTCCTGGCGTCGCAGCATCCCTCAGCTAGCCCGGCTCTCCGGCGGCTTGCAAGCAAGTACGCCATGCCGGCTCGAATGTGGAGGCACGGGATCCATTCGTTCTTAGAACTATTGCGTCACCGTCTTCCAGCATCGTTGGAACACATGTTAACGTTCATCTATCTGGCGTACTCTATGATGGCGTTACTGTACGAGACGGTGCCGACGTTCGAGGACACCTGGATCGAGTGTTTAGGGGATTTGGGACGCTATCGGTGAGTAGTTGCATCCTTCTGACTGGCTCTACTCCAGGATTTTGTTCCGTCTTGACTCCCTTACTGACAACTACTGACAACTACAGAATGGCCATTGAAAATGAAAACCTCAAGGATCGCGAGGTGTGGAACTCCGTCTCGCGCCACTGGTATTCTAAGTCTAGCGATAAAGCCCCAACAACAGGACGTCTATACCACCACCTCGCCATTCTAGCTCGCCCAAATGCTTTGCAGGAGCTCTCTTACCATTTAAAGAGTTTGTGTGTTCCCGTCCCTTTTCTGAGTGCTCGGGAAAGCATCATGACACTCTTCGATCCGCACCTTGATGGTTCTCCTACGCGATTGCATCCGGTTGATGCTGCATTTGTCCGTGCCCACGGTATCCTCTTCTCTGGGAAGAACAGCGACAAGTTTGAGTCTTCAGCGGATAATTTCATTGGGGGCATTGACAGTTGGGAGAGCCCCAGTGCACGTGGCAAACGCATCCAAGGCAACAAGGGCAACAAACGCAACAAACACAGGAAACACAGCGAACGTAGCGAACGTAGCAAACGCAAAAAGCGCAGAGACACTGCAAAGTCGCTAAGAGCAAGAAATGCCAGAAGAGCAAGAAATGTCACTTCTTCTTGGTTGAAGAAGAACGGCCACTACATCAGCATTGCTTTGGGCTGCGCTCTGCTGGAATATGGTAGCGAGTCAAACGTGCTCATGCTGGCTCTCAAATCTGCTCCTGTAATCGAAGCTGCGCCAACTCCCAGATTCCTCCTTGCTCTGGAATTCGCAGCCAGAGTTTATAACACCGTCTTCCGCAGGATCGGAGATCGAAACGTACTCCCGTACCTGCACGTGGCACTTTCGTTTCTATACCACATGTCGTCATTTCCGGAAGCAATGGGTTACATTGAAGCCAAAATCCCCTGGAGGCTCATTTCGATGATGCTCAACGCCCTCCTGAGAAAATGCCCGTCACTAGACAGGATCGAATCAGAAGACTTCCCCCGACCCAACAAGGAGACCCCCAGGCCTTTACCTGAAGACTTTGCTCAACGCGGGCTGCTGTGGGTCGATAAGTACTACCCCGACAACTGGTTCCCATCGGAGGTTGACGATGACGATAAGTACTTTGAAGTGGCTTTAATGGTCGAGGAGCGTCAGGATAGGTGTCTTTGGCTTGGTTGCCGCCTCGCGTCGTCGGGCAATTGGCTAACTTACGATAAGCCTACAAGACGATTTGGCGTGCCTCCGCAATACGACTTATAAATCCTTGATGTCGGCGATAGTTCTGCGGCGCAGCCAGAGTCAGGACCGAGCACAAACCCGGAGACTCCAACGAATACAGCACCGGTACAGTAACTGATGAGAGCCTGCTAAAGTCAGTCGTCCCAGAAATTCATTTGGCTTTGGACTGCTTCAGCAAGAGGGCCGTCAGTCATGTAACTAAGATGTAGCGAGTAAGGAAAAGTTCACGGACGGAACGATTGGGCGGCTTCATTCTTGACGGCATAGCAGGACATTGCAGCGAACACAGTGGGTGAATCTCGCGGCTGGGCAGTCTCGGTGATGAGCTGATGAGAACGAACGCTGGGACACCCCTGTATTTGTAGCATACTTCCAGAAATAAACGAAACTTCTTCGGACCGCTCCTACCTTGCTGCGTCCTAATCAATTAACCCAAAGCTGCGAACCGACCGCGATACCAGGTGCCGCGGCCGGCCGCCGAACAAGTCGCCGACTCACCAGTCGGGCCGTTGACAGCTCGCCAACGGGAGCACACAGTGCCATTCCAACTGCTTCGCATGCTGCCACATCGGGCCAACTGGTGTGGCCGAGGCGACCGCTCTTGCTTTGGCAATCCTCATACCTAGTCTCAGCCATAGTCTGTCATTTCAACTTTTTGCATACTAACCCGCCACAACGTGTCTGCTTTGTGTGTGGTAGACGACGACAGCACCTTAGTTCGGTCGAGACATTCATCATGCGCACTGACCTGGCCAGTCAACCGACCCACTGCGTCTTCGCTGCGACAGCTTCCCGAACGGGTGCTGGCGAAAAGCCACAATTGGAGGTACCCGCTCAGCCCATCGAGTACCAATACAACTGCACCCCTGCGAACCCCTCCCCCACGCTTTCCCAATTGCTAGCGCGATTCGGCCAAGGCGCGCCAAAGAGAGTGCCAGCCAGAGACTGGACCGGGTGGAGCACCACAAGTCATGTCAATCAACGCACGGTATTGGTCGACCAGAAAGATGGCGGGCGTGTGCCGGTTCCGAAGCTGAAGACGACGTTCCTTTTTCCCTGCGCCATTGCAGGGCCGCGGATCTGCTGCGACGGGCCCGGGTTGCGGTATGGTACCGTCGGCAAGCCGTGACTTTGGGAGGGATAGATCAAGTCGACACCCCCAGGAGCGAAGGTCATTTCCCTTCAACAATCTGTCGCTCGTTACTCCTTCCCTTTGCTCGTGTATTCGCTTTCGACAACTGGACCTTGTTCCTCACAACTTGCTTCAGAGTATAGACCTCCAGAAGACATCGCCCACAATGCCTTACCCCCTCCATACTCACGTCCTGACTGTGGACACTAACGTCAACGACAACAAGTCGGCCATTGCCGACGACTCAGAGACCGACTACGTTGACGAGAGCGCCATTGACGACGATGACGACTCTTCTGACTGGGAAGATTCCATCGAGGACAGCAACAAGTCCAGCATCGACGAGGAGACTTTCTTCCAGCGCGTCGACTCCAAGGTTAACTTGACCTCACGCCGTTCGCTCATCACCCTCATGATTGAGCAGAATGACCACTCCAAGAACAAGCACCTTGGCAACATTGCCTCTCAGTCCACCTCGGCTCTCCCTTGGTCGCGCACTAGCCACCCGGCCCCTCCCACCTTGGCCGTGTCCCCCAACGACTCTGATGACGCGCCTCTCATGATGAAGCGGGTGTTCGTTCTTCTCCTCTGAAGCCCATCAACGAGGTTCCCCGGTCTGCTGCTCAGCCCATCCACACGACGGCCAGCCACAGCCACCTCCAGGCGGCCCTCTCCCCCGGACAACCCGACGCAACATGCTTGCGACCGAGTTGACGGAGTCTCTCCGCCGCAACCTCCTCTGGGAGCGCCAGCAAAAGTCGTCGACCGCCAATGCTGTTCTCAAGAGACGTCACACCTCCCACGACGTCGCCAACTTGAAGCAGTTCCCCGAGAAGGTGTGCCTCAAGGACCAGGAAGCCCCCACCAACAACCTCCAGTACTTCTCCAAGGACACGGACAACTTCGGAGGTTACCATTCCAAGGGTTGGTAGATTACTCCGTTTGTAACGCCGTCGAAACAACAACTTGAGCAGCTTGACTGGCTTTAATGAGGTTGAAAGCCAGACGTGAGATGCCTGATCGTCTTTTTAGAGATCAAAGTGGCCGGACTCCTTTCATTGGGCACAATTTCAGTCACATTCATAGATGCAATCTCGTTGTCTTACTGCTTGATGCTTTATTATTCGTCATCGACAGAATCCGCGAGGCGGCGGCGTTTGACCGCGCTCCGAGAAGCGATGACCCAACCGGAATAAATGGCTGAGAACCCATATGACTACTGGTGTCCAGCATTTGTTCCAAAGGACGAAGGCGCAATCGTTCAATCGGTCATGATAGTACAAATTTGACTTGTTCGAAAAGAGGGGCTTGTTAACAGCTCGCTGTAGGATACGTGTATTTTTCTGGCTTGTTGCAGATAACTCTATGACGTCCTGCCGCGTCGTATGCCACAAAATTTCATTGAAATCCTGCACCTCTTACTCATCTTGACCACAAATCCGTGTGCGAACGTACAGCACTTCAAGCAGGTATACTGCTGCAGCCAAGCGCCACCTTCAGGTGGTCATCCCAACAGATGGCCCTGCAGCTAAGTCCTTTACCTGGGATGTATAACAGGAGCCAATGGCAGAGCGGTCGGGAGTGCGCCCACCCTTTTAGGGCTACGCTCAACGTGAACGGTACCAAAGGTCATGACCACACCATATCTCGCTTCCCGATGTGCACTCGCATTAGTGCCACAACAGAGCAGTTTGACGCCCGACAAGCACCTCCAAAAATCATGCATGTCTACCAAAAGTGTCGGGTCTAGACCTGATGGCCAAACGATCAGCGCTTGCGAGTCCTGTGGTTCCGGGAAAGGCCCGAGGATGAGGATATCTAGAGGGAGATCGCTGCCCCCATTCACTCTCGGCAGCCATGTAACAAACAGACAATGGCGGATACCAGAAAGAACAACAAGGCCATAGGCTGGACGTTTTCAGTATACGCTCTTGCGTATGTCCTGGTTCTTGTTCTGGACTTCGCCCCTTTCTTTCTTTCCTCATGGGTCGATGCCCGTTTCCCGGCAATGGCAGCACTGGTCAAGCCATTGCTGCTGCAATTTATCGAGGATATGCAAGAGTCTTTGATGCTTTTCATTCAACCGCTCCTTGATGTGTTCGTCTTCGACACGTTATCCGGCAACCCCGACCCCGATACTCG